CAAATAATTTCACCTTCTATAAACGAGCAAAACAGTTATGCGTGAGTACTTACACTAAATCGGTTTATATGTTTATTAATGAGGTGTGGCGCTTATCAGTTATTTATATAAACGCGGCGAAGAAACATGAAGTGTGCAATTAAAATTAATGGATGTACCCATAACGCTAAGAAATTACCAAATTAAACGTGGCGAATTACTTTAATGGATAATTTGCACACGATTCTATTACAACAACAACATGTTGATTGCTGATGATTTTTGATGGAAAGTTGATCCATAGCTCAATGGCAAAGTGAAGATGATTACAAATGCCATGCAACTTTGTATGTGGCATTGTCGCGCATTTGCGATAAACAAAAACAACAAAAAGCACTTTGAGGCCAGCGATAGCGAGTGTGATGCAAAAGGTTTTGCGCTGCACACTGGTTATTGCGCACTTGCGTTGTTTGGCAAGTGCCATCGCTAAATATGCAACTCAATTAATGCGCCGATAACAGGTGTTTGACAACTGGTGTGATGCCACCGTGTATTTATAAATGTACTTTTGCGCCAGGTACTGCTATTGGTGTTGCTTGGTGGATGTGGCAAGTGAAATGCACAATACGTATTTCACTTTAAAAACGCAAGTGCCCAACAACAAAGTACACCGATGGCACAGTTGGCTTATAAGCCTTGTTTACAAATGATTTCTTAAGTGATTGGAAAAAAAGTGTGAACAAATAATAACAATAATACAAATTGTATGTCTGTGTGTATGTGAACTGGAAGTGTTCACAAAATTTCACTACTCCTTTGGTTGTTGAAACATATAAAATGCCTCATACAAATTTAGATAACTATGTTCAACCACATAATCACATTAGCCCACCACCGCTGGTGGCTGCTGACACAGCTCACTTCTCTCTCGCCACCGGCGCTTACACACACATATATGTACGTCCGGAAAATGCTGAGAATTGGCTGGCCTTTCGACAGCCGAGATATCATGCCTCTGCGACGACAGACAGCCAATGGCAACTGTTTTTCAAGCGTTGGGATAACCTGCCACCGAAAACACACTTTGTGGTCCATGGAGACGCTGTAATTGGGCGGCAGCTCGACAGCAAGATCGCAACATATCATTTTTATTACCATGACAACAACAACAATTGCTCGCTGCAACTGAAAGCGAGTGTCAGCAGCAACAATGAAATGAAAATCTATGAAAATTATTGTTTTTATGTGATTTTCACAATTTTGGTTTCATTTCCTTCTCTTTTTTGAGTTACCATCATGTTTTTATACCCCGATCAGGTTATACTTGTATTAAGTTTGCCGCGAAGTTTGTAACACCCAGAAAAAAACATTACCGAAAACCGTATAAAATATATACATAAATGGTCAGCAAGATGAGCTGAATCGATTTCGCCTTGTCGGTCTATCTGTCTGTCCGTCCGTCTGTCCGTATATCAGCGAACTAGCTCTTAGTTTTTAAGATCCCGATCTGAAATTTAGCACACTTCGTTTTCTCCTCAAGGAGCTGCTCATTTGTCGGAACGGCCGATATCGGACTACTGCAGCATATATTTGTCATTTGACGAGATATCTTTATTAAACTTGGCATGGGTTAATGTTCAAGGCAACGGTGCAATATCCGAAGAAATTGTTCAGATCGAATCACTATAGCGTCTATGTACATATGTAGCTGCCATATAAACTGACCAATCAAAGTTTAAGTAAGAAATTTTTATATATGTGAACGGTATTATAGCTTCGGTGCCACCAAAGTTAACGTTTATTTTATTTTTATTTTTTTTTGTTTCAGCAAAATTTTTGGGTTGCAACTGCGGTAGCGTTCCCCAATTAAACGAAGATGCGCAGCTAGTCAATCAAATTTATGGTTCCTCGCAACGGATTACACACAAGTCAGCGGATGCGAGGCATAGAAATCCCATTTGTGTGTTTGTGTGCAACAAAGTATGCTTCGGTGTGTTTGTTTTGTGGTGTTGAGTGAAAATTTTCTACACAATTATTTCGCATTTTCCCTAAAAGGTTGAAGATCAAACAAATTAATAGCAAATGCCATAAATTCCATGCGTACTATTTTGCTTTAAATATTTGTATATGAAATAGGTGTACTAACATTGTTGTGGTAAGAAAAAACAGAAACAACAGAAAAGTTGGTTTGTTAATGAACAAAAATCTAAATATTTATATTCGAAATATCTAGAAAGATGTTAAGCAGCAGAGAAAGTAAGGACAATCGAAAGTTAAAAATTTTTGTTGTTGAAACTCAGAATCAGTTTAATCGCAGTCTTATTTGATATCCAACTTTAACTAGTGGTCATATAACCACGTCGTCCGACGCATTTACTAATATTATATTAGCGCTTGGGTCTTAGAACTATTTCATTCATATTCAGTTAGTTCTTAAGACAAAACCTAAATTTCATGAAGATATCACAAGTTGACCAAAATAAACTGCATAATATTTACTGGAAGATCGAAAATAGCTATATTAGGTATATTAGGCTAAGAGAAATACAGGTTGGTTGAAAAATTGGGTGGTCTCACTAAGAAATAGCACTACTAGCTCCAAACTTTTTTTTCTTAAGTTGGTACATCTATCGTGAGAACACATGCAAAGTAACAAGTCATTCTGTCAATTAATTTTTTGTTGACATGCCATTTGAAGTTGACGTGTCAGAGTATTTTTTTAATATGGAAAAGTTTAAATATCGCGCAGTAATTAGATTCTTTGTTTTGAAAGGTTTAAAAGCAAAGGAAATTTATGAAAAATTGTTGGAAGCATATAAGGAGTTCTCACCTTCAAAACTCACCGTTGAAATTTGGCTGGTGAATTTAAACGCGGTCGTACTAGGCTTAAAGGCGATCCAAACGAATGACGACCCAAAGCCGTAACCACACCAGAAATCATTGAGCAAGTTCATAATGTTGCTAGTGAAGATCCAAGTTTGACTAAGCGTGAAATTGCTAATGCCATAGCCATCTCAGACGAACGAGTACTTCATATTTTGCAAGGAGAATTACATATGATAAAGCTGTTTGGAGGTTAATGGTCGCACACGTTATCAATTCAACAAAAAACTGGATCGAAAACAAATTTCTCAGCATAGTTTGGAGAGCTTTAAGCAGAATAAAAGCGATTTCTTGAGATTCTTCAGATTTGGCTTCCAGTGACTACTACTTCTTCAAAAACCTGAAGCAATTCTTTCCTGAAAAGCGTTTATCGTCGAATATAGCTATTTCAGTCGTAGATGGGTATTTTGCTCATTGGATTAAGTGTGTTGAAGTTAATGGAGATTATATTGAATAGAGAATATATTTCGCACCAAAAGAAGTTTTTTTTCAGAAGCTTTTCAACCAACCTGTATAAACCCCCTTTATAACAATTTTCAGACCAAGAACTGATAATTCTCATAGAAAGACGCTCACTGAATTTTGTTAAGATAAATCTTGTATTAACCGATTTATATAGTATACAGTCAACCAGAAGTTCGAAAATTTATATATTAGGTATTTGGGGGCCATGAGAACTACCCTATTTTACTCATTTCTGAATCAAGGGCAAATTATTTTTAGGAAAATATGCTGCCTGAATTTCATTAATATAGATTGACCAATAGTTTCGGTATAGTCAGACATAGGCACTGAGGCCCGTATATATGGTATCTGGGACCGGAATTCAACCCATCTCGCCATGGTGATTACTACATACAATATTTGTATAACCTATATCGGTTAATTTTATGGGATACAAACAACCGTTAGGTGCGCAAAACTAGTATACTCTGTGCAATATGTTGCGAGAGTATGATAAACTATAAGGTTAGTTTAGAGTAAGTAGTACTTATAATAACCTGAGGTCAATGAGGGAAAAATCTGCCGAGAAGAAGCCTAGTCTTCCATTAAACAATATATACTCGTATTTCTAAGTGTTAACAGGTCTGTGTGGGTTATAGGCTTTTTAACGCTTGACATTGATCAGATGATCCTGTGAGAATATTTAAAGACTGTTTACTTCTACTATCAAATTGTTTTATGTTTACTGGGCCGACTAAGTAAGTTATATACAGTCATGCTTGAGATTAGTTTCATATTCTCATTAGTGAAAGCGTTAAATGTCTGGAAGACAAGACGGCATAACATATTTTTTAAATCCAAAATTCTATATATTAACTTGTATAGCAGGTTTGACGGATATTTCTCATGCTATGTTATACATCTAAGAAAAACTAAGTCTATATACTTGTATACACATTGTATAAACTTCCAAGTACCAACTTGGCAAGATTTACGATTTGAAGCATAAACGGCAACAATACATTTTTAACTATTGCTCTTCATACTTCATTATCTTAAGGACTTTTTATTTTACTTTTAAAATGGAAAACTGTGGAAAGTAAAGCACATATTCGAGTTCGTTTAGCTTAAATGATTTATGGTAATTGTAGGTTAAAAGTTCTTGTTGAAAAAAAAGCAATAAACTAGCATTAACAGTCGTATAAATGTCAAAACTTAAAAACCTTAGCTATAATTAGCACTGTCTGTCAATAGAAGTCACTAATTTTGGTGAAAAAGGCGTATAAAGTAACCTTCCTGTCTGGACAAGCAATCCTTCCACTCGCCAACAATAACTACTGCTGCTTATAAGTATATGTACTTACAGTAGCAGCACCATGTTACCAGCGATTAACGCTATCATCAACTACCGCATTCACAGTAATCATTAGAGCCCGCCAGATTATGGCATAAGAAAGTGCGAGACTCGAAATATGCTCACCACTAACATTGGTCGGTGCTTAGAGCAGTTTAATCGGCGCCGGTACCTTCTGTCTCTCCTTCTTTCTCTGTTTCTCTCTTTCTCTCACCTCCAGTAGTGCTCCGTCAGTCTCAACTCGGTTGCATGCAGAATTTCGCATACTCCATTATAAAGTTTTAACGCTCCCGCTCTACTCTCTTTTGCTGCTTGGCGCTTTTGAAACCACGCTGCATTTTTGTTTACTGGCCACAGAGGCTTTGGTATAAAGCTTCTTACGTATGCCAGTCATGGCTTAATCTTACCTTGAACTTGGGCGCGCTTGCAACGAATCTTTCTTTCCACCAGCTAACAAGCGCAGACACCAGCATTGCAGATGAGTTGCTGTTATTGTTTTTCGAAATAAAAAATTAATTGTTGAAAAGTAAAAAACGAGAAAAATCAAGTTAGTCATATGTGCCGGTGAAATTCAAATTGTTGTTTGATCGGTTTTACCGTTTTTTAATTTTTTATTCGAGCGCTACAGTTTTGTGCATAATTTATCAGTGGACATGTGTGCGCGAAAGCGCCTTGCACAACGCTTTGATGGCATAGTAGTTGCAAAGTGTCTTATATAAAAAGTGTGTGTGTGTTTCGTGCGCGCCTGCGCATTAAGAATACCTGACGAGTGTCAAACGAGTGTCACATGGAAGGCGGTCAAGACATTAAAACGCGTAAAACCGCCAAATTGACCTAAAACTTACATCAATAAAGTTGTTGTTTTTTTTCAATTTGCATAAAAGCCTACAAATTCTAGCTCGTACAACATGCCGCATTTGTCGGCATCTCTTTGTGTACTACCATAAATACAAACAAAACATTTGCTAGACAAAAAGAATAATTAAAAAATAATTTTATATCCATGCTTATAATAAATAACGGTATCGTTGCGCATAATTTGTAAACGTTGAGAGCAACAAAGTGCGGCCCATCAATTACTGTAATCAAACGCCCAGGCGGAGACCTAATATTTCACAATAAATTGATTGCTGTGTCAATTGTCAACAAGCATTGACATTACAGCAGCAACAACAACCAGCCAGTGTCTGAAACCGTAGAAAATTATTAGCTTGGCAGCATAAATCCCCAATGGATTGGTCAGGGCCGAATTATGTGTTAGTGTTGCTTGCACTTATACACACACTAACACCGTTACCGTTCGCGCACAGCTGGAGTGCAACAACAACGAGCGGCACGCCAGTTGGCGTTGGTTCAGCAACCGATGGTGTTGGTGTCGGTGTAGGCGCAGCCAAAGCACGGAGCATAAATGGTAAGTGTAAAACAGTTATAAATGGAGCTGTTAATAAGCGCGAAGAATAATGATAACCATTGGAAAGTGAAAATTATAGCGTGTGTACAGTTTGTTTGTGTTGTGCAAATAATCTAAATAACGGTATTTTGAGGCAATTTTTTATGTAGTGAATATTAAAACTTATGGCGACTTAGGACTTGTGGGACTTAAGGTTGTAGTAAGATATTTATTACTAAGGAAAAGTTAGAAATATATATATATTGAGAGATGTACTCGTACATATAGTTGACGAAATCGTTCTGTACAGGGGTAGACCACAACGCTAATCACTTCTCTAGGGAGGTCGCCATTATTAAAGTGACTGAAATATTTGTCGGTTTATAATTAAATAGTAGTAGATATTTTTCAAGACAACATAATTTTCTGCTGTCTCGATTTATTATTTCAGACTAGAAAATGCTGAAGCCGATATTTACGCTCTCGAGCCTCTACAACTATTCTCGAGTCAGCTGTATGTAACCCCTAAAATTTCGGGGCTATTTTTGACAATTGATTTAAAAAAACTATTGTACATACTTAACTACTTGAGCTGGATCCGACAGTTTTTATTGTAGCTATATGTTATAGAGTTCCGATTTGAACAACTTCTTCGGAGATTGAAGTTGTGCTTCAGATTATAATTTGTGCCGAATTTCGTGAAGATCTCTGACAATGACTTATTTCCGAACGTTCAATTGAGCAGCTTTTTGGGCAGCAAACGACTTGTGCAAAATTTCAGATCGATATTTTTAAAACTGAGGGACTAGTTTGCATTTATACAGACAGACGGACAGCCGGACTCAGCTCAGCTATCTTACAGGATCTCCAACGTTTCTTTCTTGTGTGTGCTTAGTGGCAAACTTAATATATACAGGGTATAAATAAGACGGCGATGATACTTAAAACGCCTTTTTCTCGAAAGTACTTTGTTTGATGCGGTCGTCGTGATATCATAAGTTTTAATCCATCGATTTACTTGAAAATTGGCATTATTTTTTCTAAAATATTTCTCTAATATTTTTTGTTATATTTTTAAGGTTTTTAGAAAGCAGAAAAATTTGTGCAAAAATCGACTTTTTTTAATATATTAATATGGATAACTAAAACAAAAAACAAATTAATTGAGTTTTTCATTAATTGCCAAAAATAGGACGAAATTTGGGCTTCTAGAAAAGCCTTTGAGATTAACTATAGCGTGGCTCACGAATCGTGCTATAAAAAACAAACCGTAATAACTTTTTTTTTGTCAGCAATGTATTATTTTTTTTTATAATATTGTATAGCAAATATTATTTTATATAATTAATTATTTAAAAAAATTATGGACCGTAAATGACTTCCATGCTCAGCCACGCATATGCGACACCTAATTAGAAAATCATTAATTGCGCCCTGAAGGGTTGAAGTCGGGACTGCCTCCATTATCGATTTAATGGACTGCTTCAGCTCAATCAGACTTCTGGGTTTTGTTTTGTACACCTCTTGCTTGACATGACCCTATAAAAAAAAGTCTGGTGCAGTCAGGTCAGGTGACCTTAAGGGCCAGCGGAAACTGCAGTTTATTTGGTTTCAAATTTTCATTGGAGCTCCGCAATAACCTGTCTGGCTATGTATGCAGTTGCTCCATCTGGCTGGAACCAAACATTATTAAAAGGGATACGTCTTCGGCGCAGATAAAGGTAAACAAATTCATTCAACATCTTTTAATAACGGTGTCCATTGACCGTTACTGTTACACCGTTTTTTCCAAAGAAGCCCAATAATACATCTTGATGAAACTGCGCACCACACAGTGACTCGTTCAGGGTGAAATTCCATCTCGTGGACTTCTTCTCGATTGGATTCACTTCATATACGTCAATTTCGAAATAGGTCTTATCAGATATAAAAATGCAATTTAAGAACTGATTGTCTATTTTGGTCATTTTAATCATTCTTTGGCAAAATTCCAGGCGAATAGGCAAATCTAGAGGGTTTTACCGGCTTGTTATTTGAACTTTGTACCAAAACAGGTTTAAGTCATCACGAATTATTCATTGCAATGACCATTTGCTAACTCCAAGTTGCGCCGATAAGTTGCGAGTTGAAACTCTTGGATTTGCCTGCATTGACGATGCAACAGCCGCGACTGTTTCTTGAACACAAGCATACGGATCTCGAAGGTACGGTCTTCTTGAAATACTTTCAGATTCGGCAGACATGTTTACCAATCTCATAATGGTCCATCTACTCGGGATAGTGACGCCAAAATTCCGTCTGAATTCCCTTTGGACGGAGATGACGGACTACAAAGCATGGTATCACTGCACTATACAAAGCCTGTTTTTCGTATCCCAAGAATTCATTCTAAAAAAATTTATATAATAACCGGCCAAATATAGAAATAAAAATAAGTCGATTACTCACACAAAAAAAAAGTTAATACGATTTTTATTTGTGAAGAGCTATTTCCTAAGGCAGCAATATATTCTCCTCAGAAATTGTTTAAATCATACAAATTGCACGATCAGATTCAAGTTATTGTAAGGAACCTTTGTATTAATGAAGGTTTTTATAACTTCGCTGCTGGAACTAATCGTAATGTTGGTATAAAATAATAAATATAGAAAAGATAGAAAAACCTTTAACTCGCATGTATCGATTTTAAGAAAAAAACCAGACAAAATTTATACTTGCAACCGAATTCTCCAATGGGGTTGCTGGCCAATTAGCAACGCCCTGCCAGAACGCGGCGAATAAATTTCAAAAATTTCACACGCAAACAAACTCCACTGCAGCATAAGATAATACATGTTGCACGTGCATAAAATGCAGGAGAACCTAAGTGTAACCACTGAAGCCGGCGTGTCGTTTGTGTGCCATGAAAATTCTCACTGTCAAGTGCTTGCAACAAGCGCAATTGCTTCACTGCAGTAACCATTTAGTTTACAACAGCAATTGCGCTTCACGGCAGCTGATTAATGTGCCACAAAACTAAAATCGACGAAGCACAAACGAGCGGATTTCACGTTAATAAGAAAATTGCATGCGCATGTGCATACTTTGTAGAGGTGTAAATGCACATGAGTCGGTGTACAAGTGTGAACGTACGTTGTTAAATACTTTGCGGTGGGTAACGGTAGTTTACAGGTTAGACTACGGTTTCAAGTTTTTATTTTACATTTGATTGGTTGTGAAAACAAATAATGTCACCACTATCACATTTCGCTAACTCATGACTACATTTGTACAATGTACATACTACGTATACATGTATGTGTGAATGTGTGTATACATGTTTGCAAGAGTGTTCTACTAGAGTCTGCCACTTTACGCATGCGAATAATGAGTGCACAACCACATTTAGTTCTGGCATCACACGTATGTCTAAGTCTGTGTGTATGTATGTTAATGTAGTATTAGCATATGTTTGTAATTATATGGGACGCATTATTGAAATAAACCTGTCGCTAAGTAGGTGCACCAAAGTTGTTCATATTTTATAATACAGACCGTAGACACTGTACAGAGTGCGGTGCGCTTGTTGAATGAAAGTAAGTGAAGAAGTGGCTAGTATTTTAGTTAATGCAGTAAAGCTTGAATTAAGTTCGACTACTATTTTATGTGTTCATGGAAATTTTCTATAAACAATGGAAAAATTTTGGGTGAAATACAGGAAATTTAAATATTAAGACGAAAATTGGAACATGATAATATTGCGCTTTCACGTTGAGTGGTAGCTTTTGGAAAAAAAATTTTCCTTATGAACATTACAATCTCAGATGTAGATTTAAATTTATTGTTAAATCAAATCTGTACAAAAAAAAAAAAACAAGAGCGTGTGGTTTTAAAAACTACGATGAAAGATAAAGTATTTACGAATTGTACGAATTGAATTGAAAATTTTTGGAAAATATTTGACTGGGGTAGTTAAAATCGCGCCTTCATTTATTTCACTCTGCGTAAAATTTTACAAAATTTGTACCCAAGCTAAGAAATTGGAGAAAGTTCATCAAATACATTATATAATTTGCATTTTGATTTACATATTTTAGTATAAATTAAGCTCCTTATAAGAACTTGATTCCGATCGTTCAATTTGTATGGCAGCTATATGATATAGTAAACTGATCTGAACAATTTCTGCGGAGAATACATTGTTGCCTTAAACAATGAAATGCAAAAAAAAAATCTTTTACCAGGACTCGAATCTGAAAATCTTTTGTACTATAAGTATGTGTTTATAACTATGTTATATCGTATTAGGTAATTGCATATAGGAGTATACATGTGTAAATATAGAGAACTGTAATGCGGCATGCGACAAATGGACGAGAAAATTTGAGACAAACAAGACAACAAAAAGTTTTACTTTACTTTTATCAATAAAATATTGAATTATAATTGAAAAAATTGTGCTTTCATTGCTCATTAAGCAACTCGGGCGGTCAAGTTTTACAAACAATACTATTTAACGAAGTTGGGGGCACTTAATTGTAGAGTTGTTGGTAGCCAGTCAATGAAAATATTTGCAAGTTCGGTTAGTTATAACTTTTGTGTAGTATAATATAACTTATATAAAAAAAATTCAGTTTAAAACTGAGCTTGAAAGTGCTTCACTCTATATTTATCTATCGTCAAAATGTTAAACGCAGCAGCCATATGAATTTTTTTGGTTCCAACAACACTCTCTCTGAGAGTTTCGATCAGTTCATTGGACCATATTGACTGTTGACGAAGTGTCTGTGGAAGATCTAACACTCTAATTTGTTTGCATCATTGATGAATTTCCTTGAGAAATTATTTAAATGCGAAGGTTTGAATGGCGATTTTCTATAATATTGTATAATTCACCTCAGCTGGGATGCGAAAGAATTTTGACGGCACATTCCACAGTTCTTTCATTTGTCACATGGGTGTTTAGTGTACTCTCACATATGTTCTCTAGTGAGTTTGTTTAAGGCGGTCACTGAAACTAGTTTTAAACTTCAACTAAAACA